CCAGAATACTTGAGTTGGGCTTTGTAAACCTGTCCTAAACTGGCAGCTGCAATCGGAGAGGGAGATATTGAAGAGTAAATGGTATCCAAAGGCATTCCCAACTCCCTCTCAATGCATGAAAAAGCATCTTCATCTGGAAATGTAGGAAGCGCATCCTGCAAATGTTAGAATCATCAACAAAAAATGAGTTTTCAGTCAAGAAAGAAACTAAATATTCCATTTGGTTTGCAGCAAACAACTTCCTCCATCACAAGAGAAGTTGTCCTCCAAACTATTGACATTCCTCTTTTCCTTTCCTCTGACAGAAGAAAATGTATGCATTCAAAAGTCGTATATCACCAATAAAATTATAATTGCCAGGAAGCAATTGATACCTGAAGCTGTGAGAGCTCCTCAAGATACTCAGGTGGGCAGATATCCGGCCTGGTGGACAAACCCTGACCTAATTTTACAAAAGTAGGCCCTAACCTAGTAAAAATCCTCCTCAATTCAGCAGCTCGCTTTCTCTTATATTGATCCAACGTCCCGTACCTTTGATCGAGCAAGAGTTTAAAAGCAAATGAACCTAGGGCTACCACAATTTCCAGAGTCCTTTGCAATGCCTAATCATTGTAATTTTCATCAAAATCTAAACCATCGATCAAAATTTGTCTTGCAGATAATAATTTACTGTAGAGAAAGGGGAAAACAGGCGACCTGGATGGGGCGTGAGCCGTACTTGCGAGACAGAAGTTCGGGGCTATAAACGGAAGCATTGGCGGCGCGTGCCATGGCCCTGGCCTCCGCTTGTAAATCCTCGGCTCTATCCGCTCGAAACAATTGAACCGCCACCGAACCATTGGCTTTGGGCCTGGCTTCCACCAGAGCAGCTCGGGGTCTCCATCTTGGTCTGGAAACCGGAACTCTTCCGCCCTGACGGCGACCGAACAAGGATACACCGCCGGATGAAACAAGACTCATAGTCATGGATGGCGTCTCTACCTTCTGGGCCAAATGATTGCGTGATGGTTAATTATCATGGCTCCCAAATCATTGTCACCGAATTTCAAGCTCTCAAGCTTCTTTGATTTTGGCAGCATTAGATATTTATCTAAATGAATTACGAAGCTCCATTTGTCGTAACAGTACCCACAGATTTTTCGTTCCTCTTCATTGTAAATGCCGAAATTTGAGTCCCTGAACTTTTTAATTCGAACAATTTTAGTTCACAAAGTATACAAGTTGGAAAAAATGTCCACAACAAATGGTGTTTAGAAAAACAGACAAAAAAGTTTTGAGGCGTGATCAACGCAAAAGTCCTCAGCATAAAACAGAATTCAAACCACCCTTGGAAGATAGATTTGAAAATTCAATTTATTTAATATTGCAGACCACTGATATTGGTTGCAGGTAGACGCAATCTTATTTCTATCTGTGTCAGTTTTTCGTTTTCATAAAAAGGGGATTCAACAAAAAGCCAACAAAATCTCAACCATTACTGACTGTGTTTGGGTGGTCTACGTCTGTAGCAACTGTAGAAAAGAAAATGTTAAACATGGATAGCAATCATTATCATCTATTCCGCAAAGCGAGCCAATTGTACAAGCACATAAGCCAAGACACATCTCATTGAAAATGTCAACATAGAAAGGCAGAAGACTAACAGAGCCAGAAGACCCAAAAAGCAACGAAATAGATTCTCCAACTCCTGTGAACTGTGAAGTTCATTGCTTAATTGCTCTGAAGACAGCAATAGAAGCATGTTACAATACAACCTGTAGAGTGTTATGCCATATATAAATAAGACCAACAAACAATGGAAAAGGACTCTTCCCTTCCCTTCCCTTCCCTTCCCTTCTGCTCTATCATGCTCAGATGATAAAATAACTAACATTACTTACTTTCTGCTTGTAGAGTGTCGTCAAAGAAAAACAAAAATAACAATGCAACTTGGTCAGAAACAAGGATTACATGTACTTTCCTTATTACAGAGTGCAAATACAAAATTTGCACGTCATCTTCTTTTCTGTACTACACAGGAAGGGATATTGCATGGCTAAAATTTTCATCAATTTTAAGTATATATATATATATATATATATATATCCTACAAAAGTAATTCATAGTTGATTACAATCAGCCGAAGAGCCCCTGTTTTGAATGTTCGATCCATTTTAAAGATACCTGTAAAAATTAATTTTTCAACTTCAATAGAACTTTCTGGCTCTTATGAGTAAGGATCATGTAAGCCTTGACAAGCTCCTCCTTGACCATGAAAAGTACAGAAGCTGCAAAAACACTCTGTACTATCTTTGTGCTCATCCCCTTGTAAAAGCCTGGCAATCCCTCATGTCGGATCATTTTAATTATTGCATCAATTGTACCTGTGCAGCAATACTGAGAAATCACATTTTGCCACATGTTTACATGAGTAAAGTAATAACAAATCCTTATTTAAAAATAAGGAGCAAATGAAATTGTCCTCAAGGTCATCCTAGCAAAGTTGCTTTCATCTATCACAAATCTAGTGCTGCTCAGTATTTCAACACAATTGAAAAAGTATGGAGGTTAGGTCGGGACATGACGAAAGACTGACCTTAAGAAAATATATCATTGGTTGACCTGCCCTAATCCCCTAACTACCAAATTGATTTAGTTTTAGGGTCTATATGTAGGATATAAACTACAATTCAGAAATTGTAAAATCTATATTTCCTTTCCTAATAAAGAAATCTTTCATATGTGAAGGCAAGGCATATGCATAGACTTTTTATTATATTCATTCAATTTACAAAACAAATTTATTAGATAAATTATGGCTTCACAGTGTTGACTTGAAAGTGAAAAGACAATATAAAGCTTTTTATTTATTTATTTATTTTGACAATATAAAGCTTTTTTAGTTATAAAGCAATCAGTGCCTTTATTTTCACATCTGGAACAAGCCGAAGGAAAAAAAATGGAAGCCTAATTGTTTCAGTCATTTCAAATTCCAGTCCAGAACCCCGGTACAACATTTCTAGCTTTGCTTCTGCTCTGTTTCCAGTCTCTACACAAACTTTTCAGTCAATTTCATTGTTCTTAGGAATTTTTGAAACCTTTTCTGCACATTTTTTAAAGTGAACACCATAGTCATAGTGACACATTGATATGATTGTAACAGTTAAATGTAAATGAACGGTAGAAACTTTATCATGTCCAGAATCTCGGGAAAATGGATGCTGACTCTGAAGACAGAAGGAATGATCAAGAAAATTTTGATAATGATGATAGAGCTACACTTATCTGCCCACAAACCTGAGTATCTTAGTGAGATATTCCCACCAATTTCCTGCTTTGCTTGAAGCCTTGACTGCATAAGCATCAAAAAGATAAAAACAAAAACAGATTTCAATATAAATAGAGACATTTTAGTGATAACAATTAGAGCAAGGGCTAAAGAAGAATAAACAAAAATTAGTCAATCACACCCTGTCCAGTAGGGCTCATGCTACCAGCATTTGTGACATCCAAATACAAGAAGCAAAGTTTTAGGAGGGTGGGGTAATTGTTGAGTGAGCATGTTATAATGGCCCATGGAAGTTAAGAACCAATGAAGACAAAGATGGCAAGATGCTGATCAGCCTAATCTCATAATATTCAAGCAAGACATGGGCAAGCAATCCAAATATAACATCAGAAAGCTGAACCAAGGAGAAGGATTGCCATTTTTTAAAATTTTATATTGCCAGGACATATCACTTTCAAATTGTTGCACCTACAAGGACCAATTTTTTTTTTTTTTTTACAGATTTTGTTTGGGCAAGGGCAAAAAAGAAATTTTTTATTTGTTTTACAGATATTGTACCCCTATTACCTTGACAACGAGCAAGGGGTAGGTTGTGACAGTTGCTCCCAGTTTTGCCAATGCACCTAGAACAAAGACCTGTTTACACAAGAAAAAGGAAGACAGAAGTTTTACAAATTCAAGCAAGGCCACAAAAAGGGTACTCCAATTTAGCATTCAAGCAAACCAGCTCCATGGGCAAGAAAAATGTCTGAAAGTCAAATGATAGTAGTTCAATATCCTTATCCTTCTGACTAAACTCTACTTTCTAGCAAGAAATATATCCAAAGATAGCTGCATTCTTAAACAGCTCCCATTCAGATGATATATAATTACAATTTTAAGAATTCTGACATCATTAAAAACAACTGGAAACTAATCATGCAACATAGTTAGCAAACCTATTATCAAAATGAAATCTTGTACCTCCAAAGCTGATACACTTTTCAATCCATGCTTATTAGCTGCACGTTTCGCCTTTAGGTGCTTTAATGAGGTCTCATATATCATGAATTGGATGGACGGATTACATACCTGAGATGCAAAAAGACTAATCAATTGGAGGGACTCAATGGTTTATCCATATGGTATATAATACAAGCATAAAGTCTAACCATAATAAGTGTAGGGATAATCCCCTTCCAAAATCCAAGTATTCCTGCTTCATTATAAACTTCACGTGCCTAACAAACCAAGAGGAAAAATACAACAGAAATGGTGAATAACTCAAGAAATGAATTTAAACAAGTGAATAGGTGTATCGTTGGTATGTAAATTACATCCCACCAAAGGGCAGTCCATTAAAACTCGTTTTCATTTTTAAGTCGTGCAAGTGAATGCTACAGGAATTAGGACATAGTTATGCATGTCTAATGATGAATGTAACAGTAAGCATAGACCCAGGGAAAAAGAGAAAGGAACAGAAGCAAACAGAGTCAACAGATGCCTACCGCATCAACAGTACCATATGGATGAGGTTTTATAGAATCAAGTTCAACCAGTTTGTGTTGCAATCCTGAGCCAATTGAACTGCTTATAGAAGCTTCACTCAATAGAGCTTTCCTTTTTTCTTCCATAATTTTCCTCTCTGCTTGAGTATGAGTCTGTAGTAGAACAAAAAAAGAATGCCAAGTCATTGATTTTCATTAGACTGCAAGAAAAAAATATCTGCTTCAGGTGGGAGCAATGGTTATGAATTTATTGCAGTTCCTATCTCCACAGACTAGATGGGACATAAGCATCATTCTAGTACAAACCCACAGGGAATCTAGATCAAATATTCAGAAATTGGCACCAGGGCCTATGATGAACCATAATAAGACAAGATAAAAAACGGTGAAGCAACATGACTTATGAAAGGCAAGATGTTGAAACAGACCTGCATACGAGTCACAAGAACCCATATTGGGTTTGTCAACAATACATTCAAGGACCTGCAAAGTAGGAAATCTTGATCACTTCTTGATCAAAGGAAGGAAAACATCTTGAAAAAGGCAACAATTTCTCCTAGTTTCTTCCATTGTACTTCTCTAAAGAATTCAACTTTTATTTGTCAGTTTTCCCAACCAAAAAATAGAAAGCTAACTTCTGTTTTTTTTCTTTTTTATCAGCAAAAGAATAACTCAAATGATTAAAAATCCAAAACAAGTGCCAGCAATGCCCCCAAAAAAAAAGCTTCTATTTGTCAAATCACTTTGGTTTAGCCACATTTTAGCAACAGATAAGGTTAGATTTTGAAGAATTCTTATTTCTTCAGAAAATTGTCTATCAATCTGTAAAGAAATGAACTAGACACGTAGGAAACTGATAGTGTCCCAAGCAAAAAAATTGAAGTTAATCTCATGATGTCAGTTATTGCGTCAACATGTAGAAAATATAGTGTTATTTCCATTCCAAATCCAAAGCAACGGAGATGATGAGTTTACCCTGCAATAGCAGCTACAATAAGCCAAGAAAACATGCCAACAGTACCATCTCCATATCCTCTGTCTTTTCGAGCAGCTGCAATTGCCTCAGCCTTATTTTTGAAGACCTGATAAAAGTAGTAGTAAATGCCCTGGCAACATTAGAAGAATGCAATTAGAAAATGGATAAAGAACCATTTTTTCACAAAGAGGCATAATATCGCCCGTTCCAAATAGATCCTGTTCAATCAGTATAAGATATTGAACTTCTAAGGTCATGCTTGGTTGTGCAAAGTGATTGTTCCTTGCTCTTAATTACCAACAACGTAAGGTAAATTGTAAAGATAAATTGTCTTATGGTAAGTGTGAGTTAAGAAAGAATAGCAAAGATTTAGGAGGGGTTGTTATTAACAATTACCATCGTATTTCATCTAATTAGAAGTAAATTGACTATTGATGTAGATGGGTAATAGTCATTTTTTATGTAATGCTCTCCTTAAAGGAATAGTCCTTCATTCAAAAAAAACTGCAAGTAGGGATATAGAGTAGTCAGTTACATGTATTTGAGATAACAATGAAGCCTTGTTGTAGCCATATATGTTTTTGTGTCTTTTATTATCTCAAAATAATATAATTAAAATTGCACCTGACTCTAGAGGTCCAATGACATTAGTTATTGAATAAGTGCATTCTCCTTTTTTTGCGTAGGTTTCGAACTTGTTCCATGTCAAAATGTTCAAAAATATATATATAATTAAAATTACTAAAAATAAAAAAATAATTATTATTATAATATTTATTTACATTTTGAGATAAATGTTGTAAAGTACATGAAACTCAATTGAAGGCTTTTAACTATATAACTATTTTGGGATTTTAAATATATTAATTAAAAATCCATTTGTCCTACCCAAGTAGGAGTGACTCCATTAAATAAATAATTGATTCAAACATTCAAAACCCGAGTAGACTAGACTAGAATCGAGGTCGACAATTTGTCAATATGCAGCAAAAAGTGGTCTATCTATGGATGTGAGTGCGTAATCGTACTTACCTGGGAAGCAGCAGTCCCAAATAGAGAAGGCTTAAGGCCACTGTAAAGTCCTCCCCATCCTTCAGTTCGTATGACGTGGAGTATTTGAAGAAGAGTGCTGCCGGCGGCGGGTTTGGGTTGACTGGAGAGGCGGCCTTTCTTGGTGATTCTCTCCGTTTGTTGTCGCGTATTTACCTACAAAATCAAATTAAAAAAAATAAATCAATAATAGCATACTACAAGCATTTTTAAAAGAGGAAAATTCGTGGTTAATTACTGTTTGCAGTGGATAAGTGATAATCTGAGCAATGATACCACCACCAGCTCCCGCCACTCCATTGGCTATGGCGTTGGAGTTGGACATGATTAGCACATAAAGAGAACAACTAAACTGGATTGCACCTAAATTCAAACTACGAAACCATTTTTGTTTGGGTCAAAAACATTTGCAGGGTGTGTGTGCGTGTCTGCGGAGAGAAAATAGGAAAGGAGGAGAAAGGAAATAGTCCGTCAGTCATCGGTCAACTACTAAATTATCTGTTTATTTTTATTTTTATTTTTATTAAGGGAAAAAATTTATTCCTTCATCCAATTTTTTGTTTTTTTTATTTTTAAAATTTTAACCACCTAGTACTAACTCAAATTTAGAAATAGTATTTATTTGAGTTTACTACTAGAATATAACCAAGAGGAGAATAGAAGACTAAAATGATACTATCTTGATTTAGAAAATAGTGCAGGATAAATTGTATTCTTTAAATTCTTTTTAGAGGATTTGTTCAGAATCTTATTTTTCAATTAATAATTTTAAAAATTGACTGTTAAATTAATATTCATATAAATCATACATATCAATTTTTATATTAATCTAACACTTATAATTTTTTGATAAAAAAACTTTATTTATT